CGATTTTTGTATGAAAATTGAGTGGTATAATTTTACGCTTTAGTTAGTTCTTACTAGAACAATTATGGAGTAAATGATAGTATAAGTTGAACCAAAAAACGTAAACTTACAGAGTGCATCGTGCCAATTAATATAAATTAGGCAAAAGAAAATAAACAAACAACATGAAAAAAAATCATGCAAAATAGAATTGAGTGTAAACTTCATTCATACTCTAAAATTCTAAGAAGTTGAGCAGATAAATAATTAAACAAGTGTAGTTTGTTACGGTTAGCACAATTTCATTACACTAAATTCTCTACGAAATGATAGCTACGTTGAAACATTGATCTTGAGAAGATTTTTTATTTTTATTTATTTATTTATTTGTTATTATTATTATTATTATTATTATTATTATTATTATTATTATTATTATTATTATTATTGTTATTATTATTGTTATTATTATTATTTTGCATGAATGGTAGCATATTTGGAATTGGATTCTTAAAAAAATACGTTAATGCCAATGGATAAGAAAAGAGGCAAAAACACCTTCAATCGCAATTTTAGAAAAGTAAGGATAAATAAAGGATAAAAGTGTGTAAAAATTAATACATAAGGGGTCTATTTGCAAGAATATAACTACATGAATAGTAAACTAAAAAAATCAATTATATAAGCGGTTAATATGCAATTATTTTAATTTTTATGACGGTGGAGACGTGTGGATGGGCGGGTGTGCGTGTGGGAGGAGGAACACGAAGTGTACGAAAAGTCTACTTCTTTTGAATGATAATAATTGGACAGCTAGAGAAGCAACATATTTACAGAAGGTTCGAAAATGTTATTTGTCATGCGAGATAGGTTGCGCATCCATCCTGCATCACAAATAGCAAACCCCAGAAGATCAATGTGCAAATTACACACTCTTTTGCGGGACATTCGACTCTGAGGCCTAGAAAAGCCTTGTTGGGAGTAGACCATATTTGGGAACTTTGTATTATAATCTAGAGTGTTTCACAAATTTAATAGATTATAATTTATTTTTAAAAATAAAGTGTTTGATAAATGAGTGGATAATAATCCATATCAAAGTGACAAAAAAAATATGTCTAGATTTAAGCTTTTAACGGGTTGGACAAAGATTGGAGCATGGAGTATATAATGTACCAACATGAAACTGGTGTATTAATTTCAACTTCTCTCCACTTGCCAAATACCTTAAATTGGCTTATAAGTCACCAAGACCACTTGACGAACATGCTCGAAATCAAGTCCTTCTCGAAGTCAAATGACCATTTTACCTTTAGGTTTGGAACCAACGTAATCAAAAAGTTAAACTATTAGTTATTTGCCTCCTCTTTCTATTTACTAGATACTAATTATCTGCCTTCTATGACTACATATGTGTAGCAATTAACTTATACGGCGCAATAATATTGGTGAAATTAATGCTTGGTCAGGGAATTGCATGATAACATTATTGCTCTCCCTTTTAGACCGAAAGATCATCGCTAAGTTGGCAAAATAGATTCGGATCCTCTCCACTATAAAAAAAATAGTGGAGGGACCACTACATAATCACAGCCATTGATTATCTAGTTGATGGTTATGATTTTTTCTTTTAGTGCAAATTAGGAATGAGTGCAATACACCTAACACTTACCATACCCCCGTGTATTGCACTCATTCCTAATTTGTACTAAAAGAAAAAATCATAACCATCAACTAGATAATCAATGGTTGTAATTATGTAGTGGTCCCTCCACTATTTTTTTTTGCAGTGGAGAGGATCCGAATCCCAAAATAGTATGGCCATTCTGTGTTTTGGTCCACTTGCAACCGAAAAATTCCTCAGAGTGGGCCGAGAACTAATTCTTTCTTTTGCTCAAATAGAAGAAAATGAGGAATTAATTTCTCTGATAGTTTAATTAATTATGTACCACGGGATATTTCAAAATTAAGCTAACTGTATTGATATGAAATAAAATAGAACAAAAAGCACTGCCTATCTGTGTTCCACAACATCCTGGATGCATGAATTCGGTATAAATTACAAAATAGAAGAATGTTTGTATTCTCATGATAGCTAACCAGCAGCCAATATGCTCAAATCGTCAACAACCATGCACTGAGTAAGCACATTGTGAAAACGAACTTGGATCCGTCATAGAGACCGAACAATGGCAAAAAAAAGCGCTTAAGCCACATTTTTAGTGCAAACAACTTTTAAATTAAGTCTCTCTAATCATTACACATCAAAACTCTAAAATTATAGTGAGAGTCGAGCATTATGGTTTTATATTAATTTTAACATGAAGATTGAGGATTATGAATTTATACTTGATCCTGTTGCGAAAAATATAGAGAAACTCCTGCTGCACATTAATTACGGCTCTATTTGAGGTTCAGGTTTCAATCATGTATAAGCAAAAGATTTAAAGTTGGTTGGCATCTTCTTCATAGTTTCTCTTGTACAATTGTCGTTCAACACAACTTCAACTGGAACGTACAGAAAGGGACAACAGTTGATTATCTGCACAGTAAAACAGGCTTATACCTTGAATTATGGCAGTTGGTGTTTTTTCTCTTTGATTAGAACGCTTAGATAATGTAGACTTATGTCTCGATGTCTCATGAACCCTCGTCTACTTCTCTCTTTTCCTATTTATGCGAAAAGCTTGGTTCTTATGATTGCAGCATGGGCCCACTTATATGATGGTTAAGGAAAATGATTTAATGACCCAGAATATGGGACCAAGGGAGGGGACAGGTGAGGTGTCCCCTCCCTATTGCATAATGAGTTGGCATGACCAACTCATTATGCAATAGGGAGGGGACACCTCACATGTCCCCTCCCTTGTTCCCATATTTTGGGTCCCCGTAGCAGCACTCGATGGTTAAATGGCCATCAAACAGTACTACCAAGTTTTAATGCAGAGCATCATCCCCGTGGGGCCCCTAATTGGTACGGTGTACTATCAACTCCCTTCCTATTGTTGCACTCTTTAGCACACTGACCTTTAAAGAGTAAAGAGCTGGCTATAAGGAGCAAAAGAGACTCAAAACCTAAAGAGTTGAAGGTCCCGCCACCGTGTGATCTCTATTTGACCGTCGTCGTCTTTGAACATGATGAAAATTCCGCGGTAAGTTCAGAGCATCATGATGACACGAAATATGCATATATATCCACTTTACGATTAATGTTGGTCTGACAGCAGAATGAAATTTGGATCATTAAATGCATCCTCAAAACTCTTTCTTTATGATAATGTAAAAGTGGACAAATCCTCTCGACATATAGTTTTTTTTTTGTGATGCAGACTATAGCCCTTTAGCTCTATTTATTTCTTTTCAGAACAGTGAAGTTGCATGCTTGACAGATTCCATGAAGATATGACTCAGATTCGATTATGATGAAAAGAAAATGTTAAGAGCGCAGCCTTAGTACAGGACAGTCCCCTTGTATTTTATAACTTGGTTAGAGAATGGAAAAAAAGGTTCTCAGGCTGAAACCTTAGAATCAATCTAACGTGACACCTCTTAATATATAAATTAGACTATTCTAATGGATGATCCTCCGCTCTACTTATCATGAAATAAGTGTCTCAAAACATCTACAGTTTAAAAATCATGATGTTTCAATACTTCTAACACATATTTTTTTATTGTCATTTTAGTTGTACTATCATAAAACAGTTAGTTTTACAATCACTTGATACGTGTGTAACTATAACTCAATATGTATACTTTTTAATTTATATACTATCCAAAGCATATAGATGGAAATGAACAAAGTGAGAATCAAGTAAATTGATTGCATATAATTTATTCTTGAAAGTGCTTCCTTATCTTAAATATAATGTGGCACCTTAGAAATCTATTTCCTTTATAAAATATACATAAGATTATTTAATTTTACATAATCTTGTTAGTGAAATCAAACCGCATGATACAAATAATTGTTTGAATCTAGACCATTTTAAGGTTAGCTTTTCACTGAAGATATATATTCCTCGCATATCAGTGACGAGAATCAAAAAATTCTAGAAACTACACCCCTAATCCAACTCACCACTTGCATTCAAATAATAAATAAACATGCATACTCGTACAAGTATTGTTCAGATCACGGCACGTTGTATGGTGCACGGCGTACTATTCTTGCACTAGTATATTCTGATGAGTTCAATATAGTTTGTCAAGTATTTGAAATCTAGTGTGGCTTCCTACTGTTGAATTTATAAATAATATTTTAATAGACGAACAGATTGTACAGCCATGTGATCTACATCAGACGCTGCCCCTGAGTTGCGCTATTTTTCTTATGGAAAAAAAAAAGGAAAAAGTAGAAGCAAAATAAAAAAAACCGTTAATTAGCTAACTGCTGTGTGACGACGGACCATAACAACTTCCGCGGTTTTGCTCCTTGTAGTTGCCTGCTCCGCTGCTCGTGACCGCTAACGGCCACGTCACCTTCTGCAGCTCGTTATGCAGGGGTGAGCTTAACACAGACGGTGAACGGACCGCGTACTGGCGACCAAAAGAGCGGCGGGCATCACGCGCCACGTGTCCTTCAATGCTCGGCCGATCTTGGCGGCAATGTGGAGCGTAGATTCGCAGCAAACGCCCCGCCCTCCCTTTGGTTCCTCGTGTCCCCTCCCCTCCCTTACTGCCTCCCCTACCCTATACTCTCGCTTCCTCTATCCCTAACCCGCAACCCATCCTAACCTGATCAAGGAAAATCTAGCTGTGGCAACTTTTTGTCTTATTATCCGTTTCGGGTGATCAACGTGTTCCTGCGGGACAGCAGACCGCCCTAGCTAGATTGCTTTCTCTGCGGTCAAGCAGACCGCCCGGTTGGCCCGTGAAAGGCTTCCACTTGCCCCCTCCCTCTTTTTTTATTTTTCAAAAATCCATCCTCTCTCCATATTATCTCTCCCTAAACGCATTAAATAAAACGAATTTAGTTTTTTAATTTAATATCGCCTCGTGTAGTGTGCTCTCTCTCTCTCTCTAAACACAACTCAGTTTTCTCTCTCTTTTTATTTCCCTCTTCTCCTTTCTCCTTTCTTCTCTTCCTCTATATTTGTGAACTGCTTCCTTCATCGTCCTCATCTCCCAACTTCTCTATTTCCCAAAATACCTTTATCATTAGCTCTCGATCTATGGACATGGACACTTCCCAAAACTGGCTCGCTTTTTCACTCGCAAACCCTAACCCTTACCTGCTCCAGCACTATTCCTCTGTTCCCCACCATGGTAATTCACAAACAACCCCCTCTCCTATTTCTCAAATTTTTCGGGCCTTCCGAAAATGACCTGTATTGATTTTTATGTTACAGGGGCAGTTGATGCGTCGGGTGATGGCATGGGCCCAAAACTGGAAGATTTTCTAGGCGGCGGTGGTGAGCCGTTGAGGTACACCGGCGGAGAAGCGGAGCCTAATGGGATCTACGGTGATTCTGATCTTAAATCAATCGCTGCTGGGTTCCTACGCGGCTCTCCGGCCGCGGAGCAGGAAGATGACGTGGCGAAAGCGGTGGTGCCGGCGACGGAGCAGAGGAAGGCTGTGGACACCTTCGGTCAGCGGACCTCCATTTACCGAGGCGTCACTAGGTTTATAAATTGATTGTAAATAAATTTTTTTTTTAACGGGGCTATAATGGGAAGAATAATTATTAACGGAGAGGGGGTATTTTGGGCAGGCACCGGTGGACGGGGAGGTACGAGGCGCACCTCTGGGATAACAGTTGTCGGCGGGAGGGGCAGAGCCGGAAAGGACGCCAAGGTACGTGAGCCGGTTCCGCTATTTTACGCCTCAGACTAACTATCGCTCTCGGTCCATTTCTCTAACATGCGCTCTTTATTTCCTGATCGCGTGGCACCTTATGATTGGATTCGTGATTGTCGTGTTGCTGCTCTTCAGTCTATCTCGGTACTGCTCTTACACGCTCTCATGTTGCTCTCGTTTATTTTTATCAGAGTGTGATTAGTTACGATGGAATCTGATTAGTGTTAGTTAATCCTAATCAGGTGGTTATGATAAGGAGGAGAAAGCAGCGAGAGCGTACGATCTCGCGGCGCTCAAATACTGGGGACCGACGACGACGACGAATTTTCCGGTGGGTAGATGGTCATTTTTATTACGGGTTGAGGGCATAAATGGAATTCAGAGAAATACTTAAACGCGTATATGCGTATGTTTGTAGGTTTCTAACTACGAGAAGGAGCTGGAGGAGATGAAGAACATGACTCGTCAGGAGTTCGTCGCTTCTCTCAGAAGGTGAAGACAAGGTCACGTGACCCTAATCACATGCATGCAGAGGCTTATATACGTATATTCTGACCTGCTCTGTGTGTATAATTTTTTTTACAGGAAAAGTAGTGGGTTTTCTCGGGGCGCTTCTATTTATAGAGGAGTTACTAGGTATAATAACGCTAATTAAGCACAACCTGCTTCATTTTTTAATTATGTAGAAATTTTTTTGTAGAGTTTAGGTTAGGGTTAAACTTAGTAGCTAAGGCTTTGGGGGACATTTTGTAGACATCATCAACATGGTCGATGGCAAGCGAGGATTGGGAGAGTGGCTGGCAATAAAGATCTCTATCTTGGAACCTTCAGTAAGTTTTCAGATTCAATACAATTTGTACGGTCAATACGTAGATTTATAGCTTAATTAACGTTATAAATCCCTCCAAAAAGAAAAGGAATGATTTAATTAACTCTACTCGGTCCGAAACCTGCTTGCACTAATCTACTATCTATATGTGAAAAATAATGGATTAGATTCTATCACGTATTGCAGAAAGATTATTTCAAGCATAAATATCTATTATTTAATGAAGCCATATGTATAGCCTTAAATATAAATTGGACATATATCACTTAGATAAATCAGGATATTGTGGATACTATTCGATAATGTAATATTGTTTTAACGATTGTGATTTAGAACGTACATAATATTGATACAACAGAGATGATCTAAATCCTGAAGTAAAAAGTAACTAAACATAACAATAAATTATATAGGCAACCCAGCGGTGTTAGATACCATTGGACACTATCTGGCTACTGAAACTAAATTGATTTAATTTCCAGCTGATTAAAAGTGCTAATACAAACTGCTGCTGCTCCTCAGGCACACAAGAAGAAGCGGCAGAGGCCTACGACATAGCCGCCATAAAATTCCGAGGCCTGAACGCCGTAACAAACTTCGACATGAGCCGT